TTCTGATAGCCATTGATGACGATGGCGAAACAAAGATTTTCGAACCACGCCTTCACTGGCAGAAACCGCTACAGCAGTACACTGATTTGCCCTAGATCTGGAGCACGGAATATCCTTACTAAAGCGCCTGAAAGTTAACAAGTATAAAAATATTTCATTGCTACACACAGCTTGTGAAAATTAGTTAAGTAGGGAAACGAAAGCAAGAAAACTACAGACTTCAAACATTATTTGGTCTTTATCACACGAATTTAACATTAACCTAAACGTAATACCTAAAGTCCCAACGACACAAAAAAAGAAAAAAAGACCGTTTTCAGAAACAGTTGTTGAATTATCAAGATTTAGATCGTTAGGTTCTATGATATAATCCAGATATATTTCATTATATTTTAAAGCACTTTAAAATTTGATAAAAGGCAATTATATCAATTGGAAATTGACAGAACACCGCTTGAAAACAGTTGCGAAAAAATATAAGCATAAGCAAAAAGGAATAATCTGACATTATGTAATTAACAAATGGCGGTGAGAATGAAAACGAACAGAGACATGAATACGCGAAAGTAGGATTAATGGGTATTTTAATATACAATGGTCTCAACGTTCAGCGATTGACTCTCACAAAGATTCTTGTGTCAATAAGTTTAATCAACTATCGAACTCTAAGGTAAATCGTTTAAAGATTTCGGAGTGACGAAGTAAGGCAGCAGGGAGTTTCGAACTTCACATTGAAAACGTTGAATTTCTCGACTTAACTTGAAATCAACATGAAAATTCTGGAATTTGAGAGCATGTTCACATTTAGAAGTCATGTTTGTTATTTCACGGTACCTCCGCATTCTGACAGTACCTTGATCCACCATTATTTTAGTGCTAATGGCGAGGACTGATTATTCGACAATCTTCTCTCTGTTGTTTCGAAGGTAGTTCGTAGGTCACGATTATTTAACTACGCTTTGCAAACCTCTAACGTCTTACAAATCATCAGATCCTGCCATAACCTTGAGCCAAATTGTTTCCAGTTGATGCACTTGTCAAGTAATTTAAATTGAAGCACCAACTAACCTTGGAGAGTGGTCATGTCAAGGGCAAGTCCTCATTTTTGACACTAAATGCGCATCGTAGATAGCAACAGCTTCTTGAACGCATTTCTGTAAAGGACAAAATTGGGGTCTTTGGGATAGCGCAATGCTCGGTAGATAAACGCCACCTTACTCAGTGGTCTGACTGTACGAGAACGGAAACTAAATAAACTAAATAAATCGTAAACTTTACTTTGCCCTCTTTGTGCCCAAACCGGACAACACAAAGTGATACGCTCTTTTATAATAGCATTATAAAGTCAGTCATAAGTTACAGAGTCAGAGTTATTCATTTTGCAAGTTACTTCCGTGTAAGAAATTTGAGAAAAAAGTTCTGGGGCTAACAACGAAGGGAACCTGAAGAATAGACTGCAATAACATCGCCATATCAGTCATGTAATTTCGATGACAGCGCATCTCGTCGGATCGCTGCGGAAGCGGGATTTGAGTGACCTCAGCATTCCCACTGTCGTGTCAGTGTCTGAGCTGTGAAGCAACATCTTACTTTATCAAGGCACTATCTCTTGGTCATTTTCAGGCATTCCTAGAGTTTTCGGAAAATCCGTTAAGCAAGTAGTAACGGATTCACAATATTTTTTAAATGCATTCGAAAGACATTTCTAAATGATCATAAGTGTGACTTCTCAACCAGCAGAAGTAGCGCCGTAATGAAGGATCTCTTGAATGTCTGAACTGTGGAATCTATCGCGACACCTGAGCCCGGCAATTCGTATAAGGAAATCCATTTCAGCCACCTTTGCCATGCACTGCAGTCTATAATGCGAAGTCAGGAATAAAAAGGGTTCAATTCAATCACAGACGAAATTAGCTAAAAAAAATTTTGCAAGGACAAAAGACAGCACACAAACAGCGACAAAAATAAACATGCTGTCAGAGTTCAATCAATTACTGCTTTTCCCAGCCAGCTGAGAAGGACGTCTTTGCGTCAAACAGGCCGGCAAATGCATAAAATGCCTATTTGGAATATTAACAAATCGTTCACTTCCCAGGAAAACGTTAGAGCATTTCAAGCAAGCGACGAACACCAACAGACTTCAACAGATCCAGGAATTATCGAACAATGCTAATACACGATAATATATCGACTGCTGAACCACTTTGACGAGGATGAATAGTTGCTCAGATGCATGTACAGTGTCAGCAATAGACAGCGCTTGCAGAATGCCTTCATTATGAGACGTATTTCCAATAATTGCAAAACAGACTAACATAAGACTTCCTCAGTTGGGTCATATCACGGGAACACCTAGCAATTGCCAAAGCAGTGAGATCAGAACAAACATCACGCCAAAAAGAGAAAACGGTAATACCCAATAGTGGTGGACGACTGGTGAAGAACTGCATGCCACGCTGTGCTGCTATAAAAAGCTTCATGAAAAATGAAAAAAATGAGGAAGAAACCTCAACGGGTGGCATGAAAACAATCAGACTGACAATATTAATTTCATGAAATGAATGGCGTTACAAATGGCCAAAAAATAATGAATGTATATCAGAGTCCGCAAACAAGAACGACAAAAAACGCTGTGGAAGGATCCAAAAAGTTTATCACAAAATTAAACCAGCATCAAGCATAAACAAAAACAGTTTGAAAGTGTAACAAGTTTGTTCAATGAACATGTTTAATTTCCAAATTCCTCTTGAACAGGTGCAGATTGACAGCGGCCAGGAACGCTGGAATGGAATTGTTCTGATAGAGATATGCCTCAATAAAATCCATCCATTCCTTCGTGTAGTCATTTTCGATCAGTTCTAACCTATTGTCCTGTGCTTTCTACAACAAAACAAGCCCGTTAATCACTGATAATTATCCTGAAATTAATTATTCATTGAAACATTCATAAAAAACCTAAAAATTAAAAGCACCACATTTTCATTACCCGAAAAACGAACTCTTTTTCCGCATTCTCGAAAATACTCTGTACTGTGAAAATCGTTTCGTTCTTCATTTTGCACTGATAACCGGTCAGCAATGCACAAACCTCTCGATAGGCCTTGGCGACTTTCGCGTTGATTTCGTTCACTTTAGCAAATTGAGAGCGAAAGCGCTGAACTTCCTCAGCAAGTTCTAAAAAGTCTCCTAAACTTCAGTGGTAGCACAAAGCAGGGTGAACGTTTTGTGTTTCAAAATTGCAGCTTAATGGGAATTACCACAAGGAACAAATCGTAGAGAAACTCGGTAAGTCAATTTCGATGGCCGCATAACCCCTTAGAAGCCAGTGTATGAGGTTCAGCAGAAGAAAATCCGAGACTGGAGCAGAGTCCGTCGTCAGGGTCTTTGGCGGGTCGGTTGAACAAGTAGTCGCTATTTTGCCTTCGTCTCTGGGAACATTCTCAAAACATGTCCAAACCAGTTTAAGAAGAATCAAGAAATTCTGAAGTACAGCGTAAACATGTTTTGACTATGAAATTTAAATCTTGGTCATTTAAAACGTGAATTGTTCATTTAAAGAACTTATCCAAGGCTTACAAAACAGAATGCCCTCTGGCAACCTAAAACGGCATCTGCTTTAGTTCTCGGCAGGACATCGCTGACCAAAACTCACAAATTTTTCCATCAGCTGCTTAAGCTGGATATTCGTCAGTACCACGTAAGGCTGATAATCAGAAGTGAATACGCAACTTACAGTAGCCAGGTTCATAAAAACTTACATCGGGATCTTTCAAATTTTTATTTATTTATTAAATTCGTCGTTACATTTAAATTATTTACGTTGAACGGTAATAACTGGCCATCTTATTAAAACATTTAATCTTCTTTCTTCAATTTGGTTGAAATGGTATACTTTACCTGAAACAAAATGTTGCCACATCTGGTGGATACAGAAAGTGCACTGGGACGTAAACTGCATATTAACTTCATAACCATCGATTGGATTAATTTATGGCGTAATTTAAGTAATCATTTTGCTATCAGCAACGGAATACCGTATCGACCCCATTGCAAATCATATGTTATTTCGCTACAGCGCAAAAAACAAAATGGTTAAAAAACCGATAAGTTGTACGAGAGCATATGTTAGCGGAGGCTCTGTGATACGTGACGTTGTTTCGATGGTTCTTGGTTGGTTTTATAATCTCCTTGATGCAGTACAACAACAATAGCCTCTGCTCGCCTGAACCATAAAGATACTTCATGTAGTCTGCGAATATTGATTGCATACGCAGTATAAGGTCGGAACAGAATCGAGAAGTTCCGGATTCGAATGCTGGTTGAGAAAACTCACCTTTCTTCCCTCCAATGTTGATAAATGAGTAACAGGTTTATGGGAAGAAAACAGGAGACAGCGTTGTATGCTTGCCACATCCACACAGCTTTTATGAAATCGGCCTTTAAAATAAGCCACTCTTGACTGCTGGAATGGAAATGGAGACTTCATGGAATTTCATGAAAACAAGGGCGTTAGAAATCGTGCCATTATGAACGTGCAAGCACCAAACGATTATGAACTTTCCTTCCTTTTTTTCGTTCCGCTACGATAATTACGATAACTAGCGACGATAATTTGTTTCAAGCGTTTGGTCCATGGTCAGTCAGTGCGCAGGCCTAAGGACATTCTTCTGGTTAGCATAACGGTCCTCCAGGCAATGCACACATAAGGATGAACGACAAATTCATGAAAAATATTAGTCCGTCTCGCTCATGTTAGAACAAAAAAGGTCAAAATTGATTTTTTCTGAGACCAACATCGCAAATAGCAGCAAAAAACAATAACAATCAGTTACCCAAGGGGGATACACGTTGTAATTAAACAAACTCGGCGTGGGGTCCAACGAACTGGTAAGTTACATAGTGCAAACGTGTTCTCTGCGGCTTTGGTGGAAACGGATGAGAAAATTACTCAATTTGTACTTTCAAAAAGTATCTTTCATATTTGCATCTGATGCAAAGGTAGAAAGCAACTGAAAGCTAAGTACGACGTGGAAGCAGTAGGAAAAACGTTCGTTAGTGAAACTTGCATCAACCTCTCAAAAAATCAGCGAAACAAACTCACTTTTATTTTCCGCCTCGAAACACCGCATTTCTAGATTCAGTCCCACTCGGGCGGTGATATCGGCGTCCATACGGTGAGCGTTTCTGCGAGAAACAGTCGATGGATCAGTTTCTGATTCGCGAATTTCCTGACGCATTCGTTCAAATTCAGCAAGACGAGCTTTCAAAACCGTATTTTCCTACAAGAAACGCAGATACGTGGCAAAGCAGATATCAGAAACCACCGAATCGACTCATTCATCATAAGGAAAAGAATGAGTCGCCGTAGAAGGAGCATCTCATTTACAATCGAAAATGCGCGAATTCAAGCCTGTTGCGTCATTCATATTTCATCCATCTGATATAGACGAATGAGTTCTTCTACAAGGATTACAAAAGACAATACCATACAGTATAGTTGCCACAAAACTATAAAAAAATTGATTTAAAAATAAACTATTAATGGCGAAAGCGTAAAAATAAAATAATCGCAGCAAGCGCTGCTAAAAGCTTTCTTCCTACGAACTTGTCATGGCACAGCCAGATCGTAAATGTACTTGTGGTGAACGCGGATCAGCTCTAACGTTCGATGAGCTTATACAATCAGCGTACTGTTTAATAGAAATTTTGTGATACAACTTGTTGTACAATCTTTCTAGAGTAATTTGGCATAGAGAAAAAATTGTTCGCTCAGGTGGTAACGCCTCATCGTCAGATGAAGACAAACCTCCAAGCGGCTGACGAGATGAACCTTCATGGGTAGAGTCAGTGAAGGATACCAACATCTCAATGACGACAAACTTTTTTCATTTTGGTTATCCAGCAAATAAAGATAATGAAAGGGAGGACTTCGTTCAACCAAATTTACAACCCTTTTGAAAATATTTAATGCCGAAGCATTTGAATGCCTTCCAGATGAACATTTTCGTCATTTACCGCCAATATATTCCAGTTTTCCTTTACAGGTGCTCTAAACTTCGTTTAATACAAAATAAATCATACCTTTTTCAACTCTTCCACGGATTCCGTCAGCTGATCAGATGCAATTTTCAAGGGATTCTGCTTGAAATGCAATAGCAGGAATGAATCAGACGACACACTTTCTTCTTCTTTTTTGTCACACTAGATATAATCAACGAAATCAGTAAATCAAAGAAGTTTAAAGCTTCTGGCGTAAGCAGATGATATGCACTATTTGAACGGCTTTCAGAGCTTACTAAACATTTTACCTCAACAAGCGTTCTGAGCCTCACATAAAAGATATCATAGCTTTTCCAACTCACTGGATTCAGTAAACTGATCAGACGCAACCCCCAGCTGACTCTGCTCGATATCTAACTGCAAGGCTGGATCAGGACTAAGGATCTTCTAGAAATGGAAACCATGTATGCACCACAAGAAAATAGGCGTGATTTAAACAATTTCAAAATTAAATTAAACAGGAGGATCTCACAATAGCTGATGAGTGAATACAGCACAAAGTACTAGCTAGCTCTACAACCAAATAATTGTAAATTCCACTTAAATGTCTTGAATATAAATATACTCAAAAGAAACCAAAATGATTCATGCATTGCAAAATTTTTATGGTGTCATGACTGATTAAAAAAGACAGTCAGCGACAAAAATATGAACTGTCAAAAGTTACAAACGCAATTTTCTAGGTTGCTAAGAGTGCTACACTAAAACTGTTTGGTTTACATGGCGAATTAAAACAATATACTAACCGCCAGCTGGTCGTTTTCGTCTGATTCGGCAGAAACCATGCCACATTCCTCCGTAAGCACAGTATTTTTTTCAGGTGTACTTGACCTACAAACGAAGTGGATTAAAAGCAATCATTTTGGCGTGTCTGTTCATATCAATAAATTATTATCGGCATAAGCCTTTGCCGATCTACTGCTGCATTAAGACCTCTCCAAAGACCTTACCACATTTTTGGATTCTGCCATTTTCATTGATCTTTTCAGCTCCTCCTGTCGTCAATTTGAATATCTTCCTTCGGACTGTTTACAATCAGATGGAATCCTGCTCAATGCCTCTATTGGCCACATAAGGTTGGTTCTTCTTGCAACTTTTCTACGCAATGAAAGTTAAATTTCCTCACTCAGGCACTGCCATCATAGAGTTTCGGTTGCGCTCTTATCTACGGGTCCTTTTCTTACCTTTTCGTGCTTATTACAACGTACATCGTTAAATATATTGGTTCCATACTAAAGGTTTACCTTTCCATACCGCAGGTAAGAAAATCAACCACTGTCAATCATCCGGATTTACACGCTATAGTCATTTTGACCCCTTAAAATAAACCATCGTTTTGGGGAACCACTGCTCCCGAGCATTTTAGCACCTGCAGCGCTTACATGCAAAACTGTTCCCCGGAGGACTATAAACAAGATGTTGCAAAACTACGCCGTGAAAGTGAGAACTAACAAAAGAACATAGCTGCGGTATCTTATCTGCAAACGTTGAAGCTCTACATACTTATTAAATGTATCTCTTGCATTTCTGAAAGTTTATATGTATGTTGTATGTATTGCAAAAGTATTCATACACAAATTCGTAGACGGTAATTCACTGTTAAATTAGAAACGTGCAATTTCACTCATTGGCATTTTGTGCTGTAATTTCTTATCGATACATTTCAACCGATCATTATGGGAGACATAAATTGCCAAACACGCATTCACCTGCATACGTTATCGTCATATGGTCTAATGCTTGGATATCCGCTCCTGAACATAATTTCCTAATTCTGAAAAAGCCATGATTAACGTAAAGTTTGTTTTAATTTGCAGTTATGTGCCTCTGTCGATGGTGTTTCAATGATAATGCAAAACACCGGTGGAAAAATGGAGAACCAGCTGATGAATAAGCATTAAACCGGTTATGACTTCAGAATCGAGGATCAGGTCACAGTAAGAACATTGCAATTAATGCCATCCAGACAACAGCAGACTAATACGGATGGCGCTCAACGAAATTTTGGTGCAACCGTTTTGGTGCAAACTGCTGGAGAGTGTCAGCATTTGATCCTGCCTTCTCCGCATTGAACTTGTATAACTGGACAGTAGTCAAGTGCATCAGCTGCGTCCCATAATGTTATATATCAGCGGATAGCTCTCTCTCTACGAAGAAATATGATGCCCTTATCAAACTAGTGAACTTTTCATTACAATTCTGTTTTGAAGATCGCGGAATGTCTGGTCCTTAGCGTGTATTCTACGACTGCGAGTTTGAATTTGTCCCTGGCAGAGGGTCTGCCACCTACAGATATGCCGCATGATATTCAGAATTATGCATGTGATGCAGGGAACCATCCTCCAATTATAAAGATGCAATGCTGTGACTGCAGAACCGAGCACTGACAAAAAACAGCGGTCTCCACCAAAACGTCCGTTTCGGGTGGATGGAAGCTAGTATTTAGTATAACCCAATTACAGAAACACTAATTAGCAAAAAAATTCAGGTACTTGCATTCAATTAATGTTTCAGTGATTACACCATACTGTGTCAGTGATCCCAGTGAACCAACACCTAACTTCCATATGCGATGTGTTTTTTTAATATCGACGGAAAAAAGCATGCAATGAACAAAACAAGGACATGAAACGTGAGAGGTAGGGAAGATTATACAACCTAAATGAATGGTCAGAAATTCATGGTGATCTAGTGCCAGTGCTTGAAATAAAGTCTTTAAGAAAAAAGTTTTCGATGCATTGTCTAGACGCAAAAAAGATGGAATAATAAAATGTAATCCTGAGACTGACTCAACAGATAAAATAAGTATACAAAAGAATGTCGGTGCGTCTTTTTTGTGTGTAAATATTGCAATGGAAAAAAACGATCGCAGGAAACTTCTGATCAAAAGGGGGTATGTCAACACAACTTTCAGAACGGTTATAAATTTTGGACATTTAAAAACAGTAGGCGTTCAACAGAATATTAAAACGCAAAAGTATTCTCACCCAAAGGCTTCATGTGTGGCCAACGAAGATCGAACCTGCTCAACGGTGGTAAGTTCTTCAGATTCAGGTGAATGCCGCAGAGGTTCGTTTTCACTAGGCCGGGAGTCGCATTCCATGTCTTCTTCTTGAAATCTAAAAAGCCGTGAGATGATTAACAAACGAATATTCCAAGATTCACGAGCTCATGTAAAGCATTAAATAAAAACGCCATATGACATT